ATAAATAATTATATATTCCCCCCAAATTTCTGCCTGCTGGCAGAGGGAATGGTATTTTGAGCTGCTACAGCCAGCGTGCTTCCATAGCTAACGTGCTACCATCTTGAGACCCTCAGACATGAATGGTCTGTCTGTCCCTCTCGGGTCTTCTCCTGCCTACCCTACACCAGTGCCACCCCAAACGTGCGTTGCCAGGGCAGTAACGAAGGTTTCTGGCCCAACAAACCACAGGAGGAAAAACCCCGAACCGTAGGCATGAGCCCGTGAGGTGCTCGTGGGTGGGAGACGACAGCGTCCCTCCTTGACGGGATCGTGCAACGGGACCCACCTCAAACACCCCCCATTTTCAGGGGGGTAAGCGGGGCGAGATCCCGCAAGGAGAGATCACGGGGGCTGCAGGCATCATCTGAAAGGGCCGGGAGGGCTTCACGTTGAACCTGCTGGAGAAAGCAATCAAACGCTCTGGAGAGTCTCAAGTGGTTTATTACGAGATGGGAACTACCAGTTGGCCATCCCACGGTGGGGCAAAAGAGAAGGTTTCAGCTGTTAGAGGTGGCTAAGAACAAGCAGGGATCAGAGAGGAATTCATCGGTGTGACTAAAGTGCAGCAAGACACAGTGAAAGGTGAAGACCATGGTGCCCATCCCCCCTGGCAGTGATCCCCCTAATCGCCCACCTTCCAGCACAGCCCCATGCTGATCTCCAGCACTGGCTTGACCTCCTCCATGAATCCAGTTCTAGAGCTCCCAGTATCTCACTGGGAGCTTCACGGCAACGCGATGCAGAGCTCCATGCTGGCGTGAGCCTCTTCAAACCTTGAATCCACACGGTCTGGATCTCTGGCACCCTAACTTTCACCCGAGGGCATCACGCCAGCTTGGTCTTCAACCCAGGCTTATCTCTTCTCCCAAAGTCTGAGCTAAACTCGTGGATTCTGGCAAAGCCAACGGGAATAACGTCACCTGCCCAGGCCAGACTGGAGTCAAATCTAGTCCTGCTGGAGGACCTGGTCTGCTACCAAGGATTACAGGAGCAATCCTTTTCAAGGAGGAAGCCTGTGGAGATGTTGGTGCACAAAGCTGATGGCATTGACCAGGCGCCTTGGAGCTCTGGGGACAATCACAGAGGGCTCACCACGTCCTTTCTCCAGCCGAGGGCAAAGGGCCTGAATTTGCACGCGGGTTGGGCGAAGGAGAGTTGTTTAGTCTCTTCCAGGCGTAGACTTCTTCAATGGTTGATGAAGAGAGTCCTTCAGCAGTTGAGGAGGAGAGGTGGGCACATGGAAAGCACAATTTGCCTGTCCTATTTTGATGTCCACATCTGGACGAGGCAAATTGCCCATCAGAAGTGCTCATTTCCCTCTGTCTACGACAAAAGTGTCTCCAATGGTTTGAATCTCCATGTCAGCCACCAACGATGAGAAGAAAACACTGGTGGACTCCCACTCTGGTGACACGGGCAGCATGAACAATGACAGACCCTGGTGCCCACCTCTTTCCATCAACCGCAGGAGGACCCTACGTCTCTCTGCAGGTCATCCGATGTTCCTGGACACTGGAACCGCACCTACGAGACACTGGGGCCAAGGGCTGAGGTTGGGTGGACCTTCTGCCACTTGCATTGAGGACGTACAGGATGGGCCGCCTTTCCTTTGTGTGACGACGGTTGGAGATGGGGGAGAACGAGGTTTGATGCTGCTCTTCCCGAGAGCATGTCTATCCCGGTCTCTGTCCTGCTGCTCTTAACCACCTAGCTGTTGGGATCTTGATGGAGCTTCCACCGCTCCTCCTGCCCCTCGAGCCACCTGTGCCGAGCTCTCCACGCAAGGAGGAACGCAAGGGTCACCGGACCAGGGAGACCGAGCCCAGCTCCACCCAGAACCACGGCCGGATCCGCTCCCCGCCGAAGGAAGCCGGAGGGAACGTGAAGATGGGCGTTCCGTTCTCGACGTCGAAAAACGCCACCTCGCCCCACTCGTAGTCGAGGGAGATCCGGATCTTCCTTGGGACCCGCGGCAGGTCAAGGCGGGTCGGCGGCGAGGTGAGGGCGCGGTTCTCAAAGCCCCACTGCTGCACCGCCCAGATCCCCTCCTCGGGGTTGAAGCCGACGGGTCCCTTCCTGGGCAGGGACTCTTTGCTGACGCCGACGGCGCAGTAGTGTCCCTCCGCCACGTCCACCACCCAGCAGTGTCTCCCGGCGGA